GACAGTCGTAATACAGGTGCTCTCTCACACTGGTATCAAGCAAGGAATGTCATCACATGTGGAACAAGTTGATATTTTTCAAGGGCTCAGTAAATCTGGGCAATATCAGGCTAGTTGCCTGGGCATCCTGTCATAGTCTGTAAGCCAAAGATGAAAGAGAGATGATAGGGAAATAGAGGTACAAAAGGCCACTCTTGACTTTTCTTCATTGCCTCCTCCATAATGAATTTTTATTTTAAGGTCTTTTTAATAGCTGAAGACTGAAGAGCAAGGCTATGATGAAAACTCAGAGGAAGAAGTAGCATGGTCTTCCCCTGTTAAGATGTATAGTATTCAGGATGAGTAATATGGATGAAGTTAAATGATTCTTGAACTTTGTGAGAGGATAATATTTTCTGAATACAAGCATGCTGCAGTCAATTATAAATCTCTAATTAATGGGATGGTATTTGAATCCTGGAGCCTCAATATGTTTCCTATTGTGGTGGTAGAAAAGAGTATAAAGAAAATATAGATGTGTGGAGATTGTCCCAGTAGATTCATGAAAGCATTTTGATAAAATGTACCTCAATTTAATGTTGTCTTGGACTTCTTACTAGGAAATCAGTGGTTTTTCAGGACTGAAAAATAAATGAGTATTGTTAAATATTTATTGTAAACAAAGCTGAAGGGAAATCTGCCTTCATGTACTCTGCTATGGTTTGATGGGTGCCTCAAAATTGTGTGTTGGAAATTTAACCCACAGTGCAACAGTGTTGAGGGGTGGGACCATTAAGAGGTGATTTAACCATGAGGGCTCTGTCCTGATGAATGGATTAATGTTGCTATTGCAGGAATGAGTTTGCTGTAAAAGTGAGTTCAGCTCCTTCTGTGTCTCTTAGTTTCTCTCACACTGAAAATTCTTCCAAGGACCTTGATAACAGCCCCACAGACTTGGACTTTCCAATCTCCCAATGTGTAGGAAATAAATCTCTATTATTTATAATTACAAATTACCTGGTCTCGGGAAATTTGTAATAGAGTTTCAAAATGGACTAAGATGTACCCTATGAAGTTTTACCACTTAGAAATAAAATTCTAAGGTATTTCTGGGGTTCTGAATTTTTTACCCATTAATGAGAATATGGGGGAATAGTTCAAGTAAAATGTAAATTAATTTTGTTGAATATTATATCAATTATCTAAGACTGCCACAACAAATTAACATGAAGTGAAAATTTTATTCTCTTATTGTTCAGGAGGTTATAAGTCAGAAACCAACATGCTGGTAGGGCCACTCTCCCTCTGAAGGCTATGGGAAATAATTCTTTCTTGTCTCTTCCTAGCTTTCTTTATTTGCCAGAAATCTTTGACATTCCTTGGCTTGAAGTTGAATCATTCTATTCTCTACCACCATCTTCACATTGCCTTCTTTTCTTTGTATCTGTGTCTGAATTTCCCTCTTCTTATGGAGAAATCTTTTGGTTTAAGGTTAACACTAACACAATTTGAGCTTATCTTAACTTGGTTACATCTGTAAAAGCCCCATGTCCAAGTAAGGTCATAGCTTTTAGGTGTACATGAACTTAGAGGGGACACTATTCAACACAGCACAACTACCTTACGTCAGTTTTCCTAAGATGAAGATTTATATGCTGTTCCAAGTAACACCATAAGAGGGTAAGAAAGAGGGACTAGGCAGAGAGAGAGAGAAGTCCTATAGAACCTCTATATCTGAGACAGCCATACAGAGATATCTTAAATCTAGACAAAGAGGCCAGGCCTTTGCAATAGCCTTTCTAGCCCTTGACCGGTCTTTGGGAGTGTGCTGCCATCAGGAGGCAGTTCCCTTCACTGAAGTCAGTCCCTGGAGAAGGCTTAAGCAGTGAGTCATCATCAAGCATCCCTCTTAGTAGCTGAGAGGATGATACCAAAGGATCCCCGATAATTGATCCCTTCAGTAATCAACTCAACTCACTTCACACAGGAAGTTCATCTTGTTGAAGAACAGTGCCTCACACAATTCCTTTGACTTGGTTCTTTTCCCAGAAACGTTCTGGTGAAGCTGGTTCCAAAGTCACAATTGTTATGCAGGTCCTTCCTCCACTACTGTCTGTTCTATAGTCTCCTCAGTCCAGCCAGTACCTGTGCTCTTGGTGGCTCACCTGGTAGAGTAATGCATAACTTTAACCCTAAGGATTAACGCTAGAAATCAGGCAGGGGGTAACAAAGATAGATTCAAGTAGATCACTTGGATACCAAATGTATCCCACTTTGTTCCTATTGTATAAGTTCATCCTTATCAATACCTGATTACCAGGGCCAACAACCTCTGATGGGATGATGACTTTTATTCATGCCTGCTGGTACCATAATATGAGGAACTCAAAGTGCCATGACTTGTAAGTCACTTCTCGGGACTCAGTTACTATCTCCCAGAGGAACCATTCCCATCTGGTGAACCAAGATGCTTAGCTAACACTGTCCAAATAAGGTAGCTATCATGTGGTTACTGAGTACTTGAAATGTGGCTACTTCAACTGAGGAAAGGATTTTGTAGCTTTCATTTAAATTTAAACAGCCAAATATGATTTGTGCCAACTATATCGGACAGTTCAGTTCTAATCTCACAGAACCTAAAGCTGTGGGGGCAGAAAGCACAGATTCCCAGTAGATCACTAGGACAGAGAGTAGGTGAAATCAGTGCACCCCTTGATTCCCTGTTTCCTGACCCAAAGGGGTTTATGTGGCCTTATGTTTCCTTCTTGATGGGAAGATGCCATCATATGTCCCTCACTTTGGGGGGGTCCTAGAAGATAGGAATTCAGGAGATAGACAAAAGAGGCAGATAGGTCACAGGTCCTGAATAGTTAACCCAAGTAAACTGAAAGTCTGGGTTTAAGCAAGTTGACATATCAGAGGCCCTGAATAATTAACTTAAGCAAACTGATCATCAGGGCTTCATTGACTGGAAGGGACAAAGAATAGGTCCTTAAACAAATGGAAGAGGCCCTGGAGAAAGTGAAATGTAAAGGAAGCAGCTTGTTTTCCAGACATCAAAAGGCCTACCAACACCTAGAACATCTTTTTCTGTGCTCTGTCATATTCACCCATATCAAAATCTGTATAAAAAGCCAATGGACCTAAATATCTATGGTGTCTGCCTTACAGAACCCCCCACCACTACCAGAGGGGAGCTATTGCTTTTTTTCTTCTTTCTAACAAAACCCGCATTTGGTTATTCCTCACTACTTCCTGTTTTGCTGGTTTGTCAGCTTCAGTCTTTGGTGTCTCAAAACAAGGACTGGAGAGCTTCAAGGACCTGGTTATACTCCCATGCCCCTGACCACCAGAACCCTAAATACTTCATCGACATAGCAGGCCCCTGAAACTTTGAGGGGTTTATCTATCATCTTCTATATTAGTCAGTACTTACTAGTGATGACGTGGCTCCTCCCAAGTAGCAGTGCCCAGTCCTGTGCTCCTCATGCTCCCGCTCTAGGAGAGAAATTTTCCCCTTAGAGATTTGGTATACAGGGAGCTCTCAGATTGTGTGAAAGGTGAGTGC